TTTATAACTCACGACAGAATGGCACCTGACCCCGAAAAACTCCCTCAACTCGATCTCAGGCCGCACCCCGACTCCACTGACTTAGTTCAGCATGTGAATGCGGCTATGGATCAGGTCTCCAGGGTTCCTAACATGCCATTGGACGGGCCGGGTGGCGCCATTATTCAGCTGATCCGGGATATCTAGCGTGATGTCCAGCATGTCTGGATAGAGTAAGTAAACCTTGTTCTTGTTTTGTTTTTTATTTTATTTGGGTAACCTTCTGTCTAATTCCTAAATAATTCAGACAAGCTTTACTGGCAGTTAGATTGTACAACTCTGGAGCCCGTGAGCATGGGCGACTCATATATCCACTGGAAGTGCGAGTTACCTATCCCCCATTACCAGGCACCAGGAGCAAACTTGCACATATGACAGGTAATTACAAGCTCAGCGGTCAATCCACTGTTATCCAATACTGACAGTTAGGTAGATGTCCAATGTGAGGCAGCTGCCACCCATCTGGGACTGGCACAGCTTCCTTGAGGTGTTTTAGTTCACGAGAGACTGACAGCTGACTTCTACTCAAATAATACACTATCATTTGCTTTGATAAAATGCTCACTGGTATGCTCTCTCCACTGATGAAATGAATTCGTTGTGATGGCTAGCTAAAACGAGTGCCTAGATAAGGATATCAAAGTTCGCCGCGAGACAGTGTTCCGGGTCGGAATAATGCTTCGCCTTGCGATGGAATCCACTACCTTAAACCCTGGAAATCTCATGTTTGGAATCGTTATTCATAAAAACCCAAGCATTAGCATGGTTGAAAGTGTTGAGTGGGCCCAACACTCACTTAATGCCATCTCTATAGATGACGATAGAATCCTCAAGTTGGATGCCGTAAAGGATCTCCAACCGCTGGCCAATATCCATAACATACTTTGTCTGTTTCGCCACTTTTGTCGACCTGATTCACCCGCGGGGGTGCCCATTAATCTCAGAATCTATCAGAGATGCTGAAATTCTAGCCTCCATGATCCCATTTTCGGAGGCTGGTCACGCGTTTATCGAACTCCGTCAGGCTTACGATCTGCAGACTCCCAATCCCGGACATCGTCTAAGAAAAGCCAGGGAGTTGCCTCCTATCACTAAGTTTGCCATGGAAGAATAGCATAGGGACTATCTTTCTCATGCTGATACAACTGGAATAGTAAGTAAAAAGTACACTCTCTATCACAGTGTTCGTATCTAATACCCCGCTATCCCGGTTTGTACTAACATCAATACACAGCGGGTTATTCAAGTCGGGATCGTATTCCGATGGTGGAGTGAGTTAAATCCTCTCAAACCAAATCCCCGGACAGAAACTCAATTACCCATTTACACCGAGTTCAAAGTCCACCCCCAGGTCCGCGAAGACTTCCAAGAGTTCCAGAAGATATGTCAGATTTACACCCTTTTCGAAAAGGACTCGTCCTCAGCTTTAGCGATCATAAGCAAGGCATATTAGACCAAGAAAGAGAACTACCTTAAAATCATGGCCGGGGACAAACAAAGGTTTTCTCGAAAGTGCTTGAAGCAAGCTATATATCAAGCTTCAAGCGTTGGTGGGGTACCTGAGGTGTTACGAGAACCTAGCGGATGCGAGTGTTCATCAATTGTCTACTTATTCCTTAGTATTCACATTTTACTTGTTGTTCAGAGCTTATCAGAAAGGTTATTTGGCGGTCCCGTCATGGCAGTGGTAGTTGAAGTAAGGGTAGGGTAGGTTGTAGATGGAGCAAGAGTAGGTGGTTGTTGTCGCAAATGTTTACGAGGTTTAGGGCGGATGCGGACTTTGCGATTCGGGTAGCAGTTCACTGTAGGTGCTGGAGTTGGCGCACTTGGTTGACAAATGGAAATCTATCTTACATACTTTGTGTGAGCGATTATACAACTTGCGCGGCTTTTACAGGAGTTGCCTGCTGGCTTGGTAAAAGAAACATTGTATAACCAAAGAAATCGACCCTTCGTTCTCTTCAACCAACAATCACGACATCACCCAACCACCATTTACTGAGCAACAACAAATTGCAAACCTACAGCAGCCGAACGCCCAAAATGTGTCCGGAGCGGTTCGTAATAAAGCGGACGGTTGCTACCACCTGTCAACCGAAGCAGCTCGGATACAACCGGTTCAACAGTTGAACGGGCAACAGGAGCTTCGAGAACAGGTCAGACAGCTTCGAGACCAGTGGGTTTTCCCTACCTTTATTTGGTGCCTCAGTAGGACTTATAGTTTAACGAGACAACAACGTTTGCCCACGGCCAGTGCGGGAACAAAATTGATATGACAAACCCTAGCCCTGCGGGGCCTAATACCTCCACACTTCATCCACCAAGCCATGCAATAACACAAGAACAGCAAGCGGCGAGAGTTGACTGAAGAAGAGAGGGTCTCAGTGATTCTTCTTCATAAAGAAGGAAAGACATATCGCAAGATTGGAGAAGAAATTGGGACATCAAGAACCACTGTTGGTAGAATTGTTCGATGTTATGAGGAGACTGGACGCATCTGAATCCAATCGAGAATGTATGGGGGATTTTTTAAAAAAAGGTATTGGAAAGCAGTATGGAAGAGAAAAAGAATCCCTCGTAATAGGGAGGAGTTGATTGGGTTGGCACAAGAGGTGTGGAGTGAACTTCCTTGGGAGAGGATACATGGCTAGATCAATAGGATGCCAGAAAGGGTTATCTTTTGTTTACGTCGGAATGGAGGGCCCACTCAGTGGTAAATATGTATAACACAGTCTTTACTTTTTCCTGTAACTTTGTTGTCAGATATCATCAAGTGGTTTTCCTATTATTATTCTGTTACTGCTTTCTGGTCGCTTTGATTTTGTGTCAGGGTTAGGGTTTGTCACATCAATTTTGTTCCCGTACTGCGGCGCACGTTTTCGAGTGATATATCATGACCACTGAAGCCCTCTCTAGCACCATTATCCCAACCCACTGATGCGGGATTTAATGTTCTACGCCTTCATAGCTACCAATACTTGACACTTTGACTCGGAAGTCCTTCAGAAGTTTGCACGGATGTTTCTTTTCCGGTCAGGGCTGGAGGATGTCTGATTGTTGTATCTTGGATGGTGGCACAAAAGAGGTTCAGGTGGTGTTCAGGGGCTCGAAGTTTGACACACACCCGGCCTCGTTTATTGTGCTATCAAAGGTGGGGTTCAGCACCGCATTCCATGCCTCACCTTCTAACTTTCACAAACCGAGAATACCTGTGGCCCGGGTGATGGTAACACTCCCCTTTTCCACAGCCAATATTTGTGAAAATAATACTGCGTTACTAAAAGGTTGGCCTTTACCCACTTCATGAAAATAAATTGAGATAGGGGTTGAGAAATGCAGAAACACACACTTGAAGTAATAGGGCGGTTTAGCACGTCAATTGACGCGGATTGCCAAGGCAACCGGGCAAACCACCGCCGGGAGTTGATAGTTTTTGTTGCATATCTCTGGAACATTGTTAAAAGATTCAGGGTCACTGTGAACTTCCACCAAGCAGAGGACCGCCGGTTCCAGCGTAACTCTATCACAAATCAGTTGAGTCATAGTGGTATCCGGATAGCGCTTGAATAATATCTCTTTTCGCCCTTTTCACTAATTAATTCGAACCACAACCCCGCTATATTTAAATCTATGCCAGCCACTGGAGTTTCCAGGAGGAATTCGGATACATATAGCAACTATGGAAATATCGAATACAGAACGTAATTGTTCACACAGTAACCGCTGGGTGAAACCACCTAGATGCGGCCAAAGAAGACAACTGCAAAAAGCTTCCACATGGTGAGATCTTCCTCGCGGCTATATAGCAATCATGCCTGATATACAAGATGGAAGCTATCATGGCTCACCCTGTGCAGCAAAGTTATCAATGTCACAAACTCCGTCAAAAACAAAAACAGCAACCGAACTTTCCTATTCCCTTTCAAGCTCCCTTTATCGGTTTCCCATACTCTGAGTTAGGCTGCGCCCCGTTTTTCGTTCTGGTTTCCGTTTCAGGTTTCAGATTTTCCATCTTCCTCCTCATTGCCGATTTCCTTTTTCTTCTCCCTTCACCCCCCACACAGAGTTTTCTCTCATCTTCTTTGATTTTTCTTTCTTCTAGACTCTCCGTGGTACTAAGTATCCCTACAGCGCCTCTTCCCTCATAATCCCCTGTCGTGACAATGGCCCCCCCCCTCACGCTCTATTCCGCTCTCGAATTGACCGGAGATTGTGAGCCCTTCACTATGCCAATCTGTATCGTCCACCTCCATCAGCCATATCTTGATCCCCATCCATGACAGAATCACCTGACCGCTTCAAAGAGGTATGTAAGTTGGCCTTTGGCCCGGAGAGCCTGTTTAGTCCGGGCTAGCTAGTCCTCAAGGATCCCGATTCTTGGTTCGGGCGGAGGGATCGGCTACTCGGTGATGGGCATGGGGGTTGGGGGTTGGTCGGGAGTGTTTTCAGATCACGGACTGGAGGGAGGGGGCAGCAGGGTGATATTGACGGGGGAGGAGGAGGAGAGGCGATGATAGGGATGAGAAAGCTGTCTTTCAGGCTTTTTGGGCATAGCCGGGGATCCGGGATGGACACGGGGTGAGTAGGTAATTGTCCGATTTGCCTCTTACGCCTACAGTCTTGCGACGACGCGTTTGTGTGGCTATCTCACGTTGCAGCAAGCCAGAAGAATGGAATCCGCTGTTGGGCATTCATTTCAGCAACCATGCACGAGCAGCAAGGCCAGCAGTGAAGAAATAATGCAGACTTTGGTGCTCATTGTGGCAACTCGTGTGATCAGCTCTCATCCCTGAATCGTCTACTCTATTTAGATTTCTACCAAACATTAACTACGAGCACACACCACATGTACTAAACTGTGAAAGATTGTTGCCGGAATCACTACCCCATGCCCCACACCGTCGTTCCAGCTCGTGCCATGTTGTCAGTTAAGTATTCTTTTCTGCCTGCAAAGCCATCCTCCCTTTGTGGTGTACGGTAGTTGGTATCACACCCGGCTGCAATATTCAGATCACCGGTTGGTCGCCAGTTCGACTCTGGTCGAAGTGAATTCATTTTTTTCACAGTTTTTCTCTTGTCATAATGGCCATCTTTTTGTTTTGTTTTGTGGCGCTCAAATAGTTAGATTCTTGGCGACGGGGATATCGAGACCAGGAATAGCGGCAGTGTGGTAGAGATCTTGGGTGGCTGGTCCTCTTTGGAGATGATAGGGGTAAAACTGGGTGTTTATTTTGGTATTACAGAAACTCACTGGGAGGAGTTTGTCGGGCGTTTGTAGAGTCGGCGGTTGCGGAAAAAAAAAAAAGAGTATGTGGGGGGAGTACCCCCGCACCTTACTGCTGTATTAGCGATGATGCGACATGGATCACATCTAACTTATGGCCTTGCCTGCCCCCGAGTAACTAGTTTACCCCACCTAACTAAAGTACCGAGGTATTCCTGAGATCCAGTCCAGCGACATCCCAGCCTACATCCTCCCCCCTCTTCCCCCTTGTGCCCCCCATCCCACGCTTCCTTTGTTGTTCTCCCGGAAGATCTGTTGGTTAAAAATGTACGAGACTGTCTACTTGCGTTATCTGCCGATACCCAGAGTGGGCGGGAGAGAGGCTATGCTGACAGTCTGCACGCCAGGGAATATTTTGGACCTTTCTTTCATAGTGGGGTAAAACAGGATACCGTATGGTTTTGGAGTTGGAGGGAGGGTGGGTTTCTGGATAGCGCGAAGGCAAGCCTTGCCTAATTCCCTTGGTATGATTGGGACATATTTAGTTAACGTACGGGTTGATGAGAATTTGCCGACCGATAATATCCTTTATTCCCCGATGGTCATAAGAAAGAAACAAAAGGTAAAAAATTAAGGAAGTATTTCAGGGTGATTATTGTTGCCGGCTGGTGTAAGTCAAAGAGGGTGGTCGTTCGGTGATGAGATATTCAGTCTCTGCCAACATACATGCCGGTAGTACCTAGCTAACCCGCCACTGGAGACTAATGAATACGCAATTCTAAGAATCCCGATTCGATACTATCATATCTCGACCCTCTCGGGAAATAGTCAAGTACTATCCCCTATAAATCAATACCTGAAATTGGCCATCTGAAAGGTTGGCCAACGCATCAAAACTGGATGTTTTTTTTTTGCCAATCCAGCGAGATAGTGTGTCCAAAATGTGGCTGAGAGGCGGTAGTTGGAGGCTGTCATTAGTGCGCTTCTCTCATTCCTAATTTTACAGACACCATGATAAAAGGAAGAAGGGCTTTTACCATTGAAGCCAAGCCGCAAAGCTGCATTATGGATGATTCGTTGGTGTTGACTATGTCTACGATGCCGAAAAAAAAGTAAAAAGTGGAGATAACCATTGAAGTTTCAAAGAAGCATCGATGGAGTTAGCATCCATTCCAGGAGCAAGAAATACCACAAAAAAAAACAAGTCCCTTCGACCAGAGTTGAGCTGGTGACCAACCGGTGATCTGAACATTGCAGCCGGGTGTGATACCAACTACACCACGAAACCAGTTTAATGGTATTAGTCTGAAATCTTTAATATCATGCCTCGACCATAACAATAACAAACATCTCCTCTTTCTCTCACTCCCTCCGCGCTACACCTCAAAACCACCAAAACAGAAAAAAAAAACACCAAAATGTCAGATGTCTTCCGCTTCATCCTCACCCACGAGCAATCCCGGAGGTATTTCCTACCCACCTAACTGCCACCATGAAGGCTAGCCAGAGTGCAAACTAACTAACCTAAACAGAGCCCGCTTACCATCCTTATACTCCGATGTCCGGCCCCCTCCCAACAAACAGCCTCTCCGGCATTCCCGCGAGCGTCACACCACAGGAGTCCGCGTTTAGCCAGGCTGCTGCAAATGGAGTCCTCGGTGGCGACGCATTGGTTTCTGGCATTGGAGAGGGGTTGGTTAGCTCCTCTGCGACGAGGGAAGGGGTGAGGCCGTTGGTCTTGGGGACTGTTGTTCGACGTTTTTACTATATTCACGGTGTAGCGTGATGGGCTAACGAAAGTTTAGAATGAAGTAGTGGCCATGAGGCGGTTACCTCGCTGGAGACCTTCTTGGGTATGCGAGAGAGTGTGTATTACCGTCCTTGGGTGGATCCTTGTAAGGTGCTTGGGTGGGGGTTGGAAGTTGCGGGGCTGAAGAGTGGGGCGGTGGGGGATGGGAAGATTCGGCAGCGGAAGGTGGTGGTGCTTAAGAATATTGAAGTATCTTCCGTTCTATCCACTGGCAGGGAGGTCGCACTCCTAATACTAGTTTCACACAGGAGACGGCACAAACAATCCTCAACGAAATCTCCGAGAAACCAAGCAATCCAGACCGAATATTCTCCACGGAGATGCTCTAGCAATAGTTCTCCATTCACCGGAGACAGCTCTCAGAGAGATACCTCCAAGTGCTACTAGCCTTCCTTTCCCGTTATATGCGAGAAGCTTCCATCGCCAACAACGTAACACCCCTCCCCCCTCCCCCCTTTCACCTCTAAAAACCCGAACTTACTACCCTTCCACCCCAGACAATAAAGTTCAAACACCCCATGGGAGAACAGATGCCCATATCCCCGCACGATACCACAATCGCCAACCTAAAAACGTTAATCACCTCCCTGCAGACCGCCATCACCACCTTCTTCACGAAGATCTCAACCTCCGACGCTAAAGCTCCCACCGCCATACAGTCCTCTACCAAGCATGTCGCCCTCTCTGCCCTCAAATCCAAGAAAATCCTGGAGACCTCACTCGAATCACAGGCGAAATCACTCGCACAGCTGGAGGAAGTCCTCGTGAAGATTGAGCAGGCGGGGGATAACATTGAGCTTGTGCGCATGCGTGAACACAGCAGCAAGGTTCTTGCAAGGCTTAACAAGCGAGTTGGAGGAACTGAGGATGTGGGTAAGGTGGCTGATGCGCTTCAGGAGCACATGGAGGAGGCGGGTGAGGTTACTAGGATCTCGGGTGGTGAGACGGACGCCACAGCGCATGTTGACGATGGAGAGGTGGAGGGGGAGTTTGAAGCTTTGCTATAGGAGGAGATCAAGCTTAGAATACAAGAGGATGAAGCAGCATTGGAGAGGAACGTGCCGAAAAGGGTGATGATCCGTGATGCTCTCCTGAGATATCCATTCTTACCCCCATTTTCACATCAGCCGACAGTAGGATGGAATGAGTACAATAAAACGCAATTTGCACCGCCTCCCTTTAGAAGACTGGGGGTAAGAGTGGCTGGTTCAAATCCGCTATGATAACATTGTTGACACTAACCTCCGACATATACACTGAAAGGCCCCATCACGGCGCAACACAATTCACAATGACAAACGAGAAGCTTTCCGCCATAGCCAGTCATTCTGGAGATCGACCAATAGTATATCAAACACCAGCCAGAACCCTTTTTGCGACTTATAGAGAATAAGACACCGCGGGCTATGCCTACTCTACAAGAACCCCCCGCACCCCGTGACGCCAAGCGTAGACGCTGATAGTCTCGAAAATACTGGCCGAGGAGGGATAACCAGCCAGCTAACACACGATCACACCAAGAAAGGATATATATAGAGGGACAAAGTACCTAAACCCTTCACCCCCGGTCACAATAACTACCCCAGGCGCTTGCTTCTGCCAATGCACCTCCTTAACATCCTTGTAATAGTGCAAGAACGACGATTGAGGCGGAGTGTTCTTGCTCTTGTCGTTGCTCAACTCAACACTCAAGCCCCAAAGTGTAACCGTCGAGTCTACAGATGTAACAGAAACAATACTATCCTCAGTAGGTTGAAACTCAACACTAGGGATAGGTTGCTGGTGGAAAGTAAAGCTCGTAGTAGCAGATACATGTTCACCCTTGAGTGTGTTAGGGAAGGTTCTGAGATCCCAGACGCCCCAGACTCCATCGTCGGCGCCATTGGCAAGGAGGTGGGAAGCGGCATGGTGGCCATGCACAGAAGGATGGATATGGTTTGTCATAGTGGGGTATTGGAGGGAGAGACGTTCGGGGATCGGGTCCTGCGCTACGTCGGAGGCGTCGTCGTCTTTGTCCCCGTCTTCTTTCTCTATTTGATTGTTAGCTGTGGATTGGAGAGGAGAGGCAGGGGGAGGGACAAACACTGCTGCATCCTCTGCAGCCCACTCAATTCCATCACTGTAACTTCATTATCCTTCGCTCTAGCAGCCTACATCACAGCAACCCAGTACACCATCTGTGGGTATCCCGGCCATTCGTCTCTTGTGGTCCATCCTACAGCACATCAAAGCTCAGGCACGGCCAGTTGACATTCATCCTATGCATCACGTGATACGCCGTCGGGCCCGGCTCTATTATTTCATCTCTATTTCGAACCCTCTTCGAGGGCATGATAACCTGTGGGTCAATTTCCATGCTATCGCTCCTTCCTTCCAACAAACGGTAAAATAGAAAATCTATCGACGTGCTAGTGTTTGAAACCTCCCATGTATTTTGTTGGCACACGTACGAAGCTATCTCCAAAATCCGCTGATACCCTACCATTTTACACCAAAAATGGGTATTTTCGCATTGGTAAACCTCAGCTCCATCGCTCTACAAAAAATGGGAAAATTTGCTAGAGCCTTTAGGGCCATCTAGATATTATCACCCATAAGTGAGAAGCTCTGTTAGTAAATGTCCATGGTGAAATACCAGAAATAATGATAGTGGGCGAATGGTACTTACAATTTTATATGAGAGTTCCATACAAAAAGTACATTGTAATAGTGTCCAATCTGGTCCCTAGGCTCTCAGCCATCATGGTGAAATGGGAAAATTCTCATAATATCTACCCAGAGTCTAGGTAATTACCTACATTATGACATCAATTTTGTTAATTCTATCTTGCTTTCATGAGTTATAGGTGTCCAAAATCAGTCATTTTTGGTGCAAAATGGTAGGGTGTCAGCGAATTTCGCAGATAGCTTTGTACTATAGTAATTACATAAAATAATAATTGTATTATAGAAAAATACCTCACACAATGCCGTACCATCTCCTACTCTCCTTACTTGCCATTCCGAAGAATGTTT